AGAAACAATAGGTTAATTGCTAACAAAAGATGGATACAGCTAGGTGCTAGCACTCTGGAGCTGGTCCAGGTATAGTAGAGTAGAAATGCTGCCACACATAGGCCCTAGCTCTGTCACATTTCCTTATATTTACTTTTCTTCCTCAAAACTGTGTATAAGTTAACATTATTATATCAATTAGACAGTACAGTTAGGGAGGAATCATCTTCTTGACAATCCACAGATAAGAATTGCCCAGTAAAATGAGATCTTTTCATGAGATAAACACACAACATTATAGGCAGTGAGGATCTCTCCACAGCCATTCACACAATGCCAGATACCAGAGAAAGATAGATGTAGCAAGCATATAAAAGCACAGCAGAAACAAAAGACGTTCATGGGTGTGTAGTCTCAAGTCTTGCCTGTCCAAGATTGATCCATGAGAGAGTTTCCTCCTGGTGGGCTGTCACCTTGAACTTGAATTGCCACCTGATGGTCCCCTGACATGGCCACCAACATTCTATGTTATGATGCTATTATATTGGGGAGTATTATTTCAGCATCATCTTAAAAATAAGCTTTTTAGCTGGTTGTGGTCCCACGTTAAATCCTGTTTATTGGGTGCTAGGAATAAACTCAGGGTATCATGTATGCTAGGCAAACACTCTGCCAACCAAATATATCCTCAGCCCCTAGAGGAGTAGGGACCTTTAGAATGTACCTCCTCCACCTATTTCTATCCTCCTCATTTTTTCTTTAATTATCATCTTAGCCATCACTATTGCCTCCTCTGTTTTTATGAGATCTGCCTCAGAAATGGATCAATGCATCTGTCACAAGGGTGGGTTTGTTATCAAAGTGAGTTCAGCCCCCTCTTTCTCAGATTAATGTTTTTATGCCCTTTCTTTTAACATGGATGACATGGGAAGAAAGTCCTCTCAGATGCATGCCACACTCGAAATATCCAGTCTCAATTTTTTAAAAAGTTTATTTATATTTTATGTATGAGTGCTCTACATGTGTGCCTGCATACCAGAAGAGGACATCAGATATTATTATAGATGGTTGTGGGCCACCATGTGGTTGCTGGGAATTGAACTCAGGACCTCTAGGAGAACAGCCAGTGCTCTTAACCTCTGAGCTATATCTCTCCAGCCCCGGTCTCAAAAAATTTAAAAAGTAATCTGTGATCAATGTAATGTGTCTTGCCTCAGGCATTTGGAAAATAAGCTAAGGCAGAAGATGAGGTCAGGCTCAGGGAAGGTTCACAGGCACAGGAACACAGGCAGTGAGAAGAGAGGCCAAGGTCTAGTGCCTCCAGTTCTGCATGTCCCAAGTCTCTGTAATGCTCCTGTAATAAAGCCACTTAATTTGCTCAAACAATTCAGAATTAGGTAAAAGTTCAGGCCACCTCTTTCCTAAATATTCATATAGAAAGTGACATAAACTTTTAAGCATTTTTGAGGTCTTGTGACACACAAGTGATTAGCACTTGGGAGGTGGAGGCAGGAGGATCAGGAATTCAAGGTCATTCTTTTGCTACCAAAATAACTTGAGACCAGCCTGGGGTACAAAGATCTGTCTCAAAAACAGAAACAAAAACAATACAAAACCAAACCAAACACAAAGTAATTTCAAGAATTCATGGATTTGTTCCAGGTCTTTCTTGGGCCATTTAGTCACCCAGTGTGTTTGACTAGTGAAAAGAAAAGAGATGTGTGTGTCCTGGTAATGGGGAGAAGGATTGGTAGAAATTCTCCTTTCTTTCTTTCTTTCTTTCTTTCTTTCTTTCTTTCTTTCTTTCTTTCTTTCTTTCTTTCTTTCTTTCTTTCTTTCTGACTTCTGTCTCTTCCCCGCCATATCCCTCCCCTTCCCCCATTCAACTCCCCCTCCCTCATCAGCCCAAAGAGCAGACCAGGTTCCCTGCATGTGGGGAGTCCAAGGACCTCCCACCTCCTTCCAGGTGTAGTAAGGTGAACATCCAAACAGCCTAGGCTCCTACAAAGCCAGTACATGCAGTAGGATCAAAACCCAGTGCCATTGTTCTTGACTTCTCAGCAGTCCTCAATTGTCCGCTATGTTCAGTGAGTCCGGTTTTATCCCATGCTTTTTCAGACCCGAGATGTGGAATTGTGTGTCAGTTTTGAGTCTTCTTGAGTATTACCTTTCTCTTCTGATAACAAGGATGCACGACTCCCAGGGGTGTGACAATCTGGGTTGTTAAATGACAACTCACTTTATCCACACATTCACTTACTCCAAACTCACTGATAATTTATTAGGTCCCTTTGTCCCACGGAGCATTCTAGCTGTGACATCTCAGAGGAGGATAGGTCACTAAGCTAATGAAACATTACCCTGGCAGTGACAGACAGACACGGCAGATGGATGGGATTAATGAATAAAATAAAGCAGCATGGTGTTTTAGCAAGTAGTGGGAGGTGGCCACTGTTGGGTCCCTTGAGAACAGGCCTTCACACCCCCACTTGATCTGTTTTGCACTCCTGGGTTGGTTGAAAACAGGAACAATCTGTTGTTTTCAGCAATGTTTTAAAGGATGTTTACCCCTAAGCCATGTGAGTTATGGTGATGAGCTTCCTGTTTTTGCTGGCTTGGCCTCCCCTGCTGAGGGATATATATACTGTGTGAGAAAGTGGAATACAGGCTTGTCTGCAGAACCTAAAGTTGTGTCATGTGTTAATCTTGACCTCCCACACTCAGAGAACTACAGTTGCTGTGCTGGCAAGGCAACCACAGAATGTCTTCCTTTCCTTGTGAGCAAAGACTCTGAGAGACACAGATGGTGGCACCAAGGGAGTCAGGAACTGCAGAAAGGACCTGAAGGGGAATAGGGTCAGGGAGCAACATGGGGCTGGTGTCAAAGCGGAACAAGGGAGGAATGAAGATCAGAAGACCAATAGGATCAGGTAAGGTACAGTACAGTGGTGTGATCATGGTGGAGACTTTGATCTTATTTTCAGCAGCAAGGGTACAGTGAGGGGCCTGGGGAAGGCTCAGGGTATTAAGTAAGGAATGTTTCAGTGAATGCTGTCACTTGGGTTGTGGTGAAACTATTCTTAGGCATGTAAGAGCAGAAGTAGGGGAACCAAAAAGGGGCTTGCAGAGGGCAGTACATAGCATTTTAAAGTAACCTTAACAGTAACTTTTAAAACACTCTTATTTATGACTGTCTCTGTCTCTCCATCCGTCAGAGTATATTTCTAATTGTTTGCACACCTGCTCATAGAGGCAGAGGCCAGAGGACGGTGCCTGGTGTCCTCTATTAATCTGTCCATACCCTTCAGTCACGGTCCCTTCCTGAAATTGAATCTGGAAGTCAGTAAGCCCCAGGAATCCTTCTATCTTCACCATCAACATTTTAATCATGAGACATAGGCTTATAACCCGCTAGCTTATTATATTGGTGTTGAGATCCGAATCCTGGTCATCACAACTGTGCAGCGACTGCTATTATCCACTAGACCCACTAACAATGTTTACAAATGATCTGTATCATTTATCTGTTTATGTATGTATATATGTTTCTGCCTTTTATTCATCAATATATCTGTCTCTATCAGTCTATTTATTACCTATCATCTATCTATCTATCTATCTATCTATCTATCTATCTATCTATCTATCTATCTATCTATCATCTTCATCATCATTACCATCATCATCATGTTTTTGTGATTGTGTGCGTCATTATACATATCTGATATCTGAAGAAACCAAAAAGGACATCAAATCCCATGAAGCTGGCATTACAGGAAGTTTTTAGCTATCTGATATGGGAGATGGTACTAAACTCAAGGCCTCAGCAACAACAGCAGTGCTCTTGGCCCACTGAGCCACCTCTCCTGCTCCAACTGTTAAGTTTGGAGTTAAGATGTTGTTGAACTTGGTCACCTCACAAAAAGCCCACCTCCATGAATTTTAAAGATGAGCACTTTCTTACCACTGATGTTGAACATCAAGAATGGTCCCTGTCTCAGCCCCTTGTAGTCACTACCTCCCACTATCCCGACACACCATCAACTGCATCTGTGTTTGAACATCATTTAGATGCAGCAGATAAAAACAAAATTTGCTTTTGTGTAGCATTAAGTTGGTAAGTTTCACTTACACCATTGATCTGGTCTGAGAATTGTTAGTTCATTGTTGCAAAAAAAAAAAAAACAATGAATACATCAACATCAAACACATGCAGAGCTTTTTCTTAGCATTGTTTCCAAACAACACTGGGCACTGACCATTTTCATAGCCGTTCATTTCTATTAGCTGCAGTGCAATCTAGAGAGAGTAAAGGTTACAAGAGGACATGGGAGGGTTGTTTGCAAACCCTGCACCATGCGCCTCAAGGGCTCTCAGCACTGAAGGGTTGTCATGTTCCTGGGACCAATTCCCTGTAGATGCCCTGATGGTTGCACTGCCAGGCATTTTTGCAAATGTCCAAACTGCAGTCATGACTCACATTCAGGAACACTCCTAGGTGACTATCACTTTCCCTTCCCATGTAACCCAGTGGGTGGGTCAGGGCTGGTCTCTCTAAACGTTGTCAGGAGGCATTGGACAGGCTGAAGCTGGACTGCAGGAAGCATGGTTCACCTGGCCAGAATGAAGGGTATGGGCATGGAACTAATGCACATCTGCATCCACATCTGTATCTATTATTTTTGAGGTAGGGTCATATGTAGGTGAGACTGGCTTCAAACTGGATGTGCAGACAAGGATGACTACTGATTCTCTGGTCTCTACTTCTCTTGTGCCAGAATTATAAACAAGTGTTGCCCTGTCTCCCTACTCTACAGTGCTGGTGTACTGATTAGGAAATCCAACCAATCAGTGCAGACCCTGGCTACCTTGTGAATTAACCCTTACCTCTTAGGTTCTCAGGAGAGAAAGGGTGGCCAGGGGAGGGATACCTATTTACCAGTCTGTGTTTTGGTGTTTTCACAGTGTAACAACAATGTCTGAACTGACTAACCACAACTGTCATGCCCTTATCTTGGCAGCTTAAAGAAAAATATGGAGATGTGTTCACAGTGCACCTGGGACTGAGGCCTGTGGTCATGTTATATGGGACAGAGGCCATAAAGGAGGCTCTGGTGGACCAAGCTGAGGCTTTCTCTGGCCGGGGGACAGTTGCTGTACTTGAGCCAATTGTGCAGGGATATGGTGAGATACGGGACAGGGTGAAGTGGCAGATGTGGTCTGGGAAGATGTGGGTGAGAGGTGGAGCCCGAGCTGTGGGGAAGGACTCAGGGTCTTTGAACTTCTCTTGTAACCCATCAATGCTTCCCCTCCATTCCTAGGTATGATCTTTTCTAATGGGGAACGCTGGAAGACACTTCGCCGCTTCTCTCTGGCCACCATGAAGGATTTTGGAATGGGCAAGCGGAGAGTGGAGGAGCGGATTCAGGAGGAGGCCCGATGTGTGGTGGAGGAGCTGCAGAAATCCCAGGGTGAGTCCCAGAGAATGGGCAGAAAGGAAGATGGTGACACAGGGACCCGAGTGCAGAGCCTAAGAAAGAGAAAGACAAGGGCTGAGAGACAGACAGACAGACAGACAGACACACACACACAGAGTATGGAGAGGATGAGATGCTGATACAGGTGGAAAGAGAGAATTATAAGTGCAGGAAAAAATGTGAGGTATTTTGTTTCCAAAATAACTAAGATGCATGTACTGCCCATAGTGGTCACTTCTCTTCAGAAAATCAACCAGTGAATTATTTTTCTTTGTCAATTGGATAGTTTTGGTGAACACTCATCCTCTTAGAACTCAGAAGGTGAACTTAAGGCAACACAGCCATTAGTTCAAGGCCAGCCCTGTCTACAATGTTAGGTCCTGCCTTTGATGTGGCTGTGGCTAAGTTGTGGAGAGCTTACAGCACCATATATAGTCGGCATGGTCCTGCATGTGTGTAATCCCAGCACTCCAGAGGTGGAGGCAAGAGAATGAGAATTCCAAGTTCCTCTTCTATTGAACAAAGTGTTCAAGAACATTTTGACTTAATCATTATAATTGCCCCCTATCCCTGCCACCCCCCTCCAAGTCTCATCAAAGGCAATCACTGACCTTTAATCGATGAAGGAAATGGAGCAGGAGGACCTACAGACATGGCCTAAGCAGGGAACTGTGTTTTCTTCCTAGTGAGTGTGTTGGTGAGCAGCAGTGAGCACAGAGGCTCATGGGAGTTTGATTTTGGTAAAAATCAGAGGTATTTTAAGTTTGTTATATCAAGGGCACATTGGTTACAAGACTGTTGCTTACACCTCCATTTCTTTACACGGGGCATTTGTCATCTCTTATTGACCTTTCTCTGGAGATCTGAGAGGTCAGTAAGGAAGGGGGAGGGAAGAAAAGGGCAGAGGGTGAGAAGAATGATGGGAGAAAGAAGTCAGTGATGGAGGGACCCAGAGGAAGAGAAACAAGCTGAGAATCAAGCTAAAGATGGACTAAGAGTGAAGCTGCTGAGTCCCAAAAAAGTATCCTCATAGGATCAGAGACCACAGACAAGACAGCCCAAGGGTGAAGGGCAACAGTGATCCAATACTGCTGTACTGACAACAGTCCTCCAACTGCCAGGGTCCATGACTGAACCTAGTATACAAAGCTGCAGGCAACAGCGGCTGATGGCTTCTGGAACACCATATAACTCCGAAGTCAGAGAAGAGAGGGATGAAGGACATCAGAGAAGGAATGATGGACGTCAGAGAAGGAATAGTGGACGTCAGAGAAAGGAAGGAGGAAGTCAGAGATGGGATGGAAGAAATCAGAAAAGGGATGGAGGAAGTCAGGGAAGGAATGGAGGAAGACAGGCAGATGGCCATGGACTCTCCAGGGCTTGTAATTGACACAGCCATCCCTGGACTCTTCTGTGCACCATTCCTGCCAGTGGCAGTTAGCTATCAGTTCAGAGTCAGGATGTCGTCCTGGGAGGAGGAGCAGGTGCAGACTGACTGAACTCACTCTAAGTCTTGTTCCTAGAATCCTAATTGCAGCCATGTTCCAGCCATGATTAGCTGAGTTTCCTTGGTGAAGATGCATCCCTTTCTGTATATAGAAATAGCATCCCATATTCTGTACAGTACTGAGGGAGTTAAATAAAGGGATGCACGCATCTCTGAGTGAAGAGCCCAGACTCTTATGTGCACCATATGTGCAAATGTGGTGCTGTTCATTGAGCAGTGAGTGGTGGGGACGACTTCACAGAGATGGGGTTGAAGCCAAATACTCCCCTAATTCTTTATTCCCTGTCTCTTGTACTATATCCTCCTTCAGGAGCCCCCCTGGATCCCACCTTCGTCTTCCAGTCCATCACAGCTAACATCATCTGCTCCATTGTCTTTGGAGAGCGCTTTGACTACAAAGATCGCCAGTTCCTGCGCCTGTTGGAGCTGATCTATCAGACCGTCTCGCTCATCAGCTCATTCTCCAGCCAGGTCAGTGGGTGGGAAGAGAGGAGCATCGAAGGCAGAGGAAAGAAAAGGCTGCTTTGTGAGTAAAGAAGGGAGTGTCTTGTGGCTGGAATAAGGATAGACAACATGGAAAACAAGGAGTCTGTGACCGGGAGGGATGGAAGAAAGAAAGGAGGAACAGAGGAAGAGAGGGATGTTAAACAGTGTGAAGAGACTTGAATGCAGAAATACAGAGCCATCCAGACATGAGAACATGATGACGTGGGGGATACAGCTGTTACTTAGAGGACAGAGGATACAGTATTTCATGAATGAGCCCTTGAATTCACCCCCAGTCCTTGGTGGTGTTCAACACATCAAATTGCAGCATTTTGGTGTTAGAGACTGGGGTATCAGAAATTTGGGCTGATCCTTGGCTACATGTTGAATTTAAATCCTGTGTGGCATTAATGTGTTCAAAATACAGTACCCCACAAATGAAAACAAATTAAGACAAAATAGCAAGGAAGATGGGAGAGAAGAGCAGATGAGAGGGAAAGGGAGATACAGAGAATATAAAATGAAGGTTATAGACTGATTTAGAGATAAAGGTCGAAGACATGTGTATGTATGTTGTCCATGTATGAGAGGGGTGTGTCTGTGTTTCTTCATGACATCTGTGGACCTAGGAGCACTGCCCCCTTCCTGAGACCTGATAACTCCATGTGACCTGCTGGGCCCTTCTTTCTTGCAGGTGTTTGAGCTCTATTCGGGTTTCCTGAAATTCTTTCCTGGTACCCACCGACAAATCTACAAAAACCTGCAGGAGATCCTTGACTACATTGGTCACAGTGTGAAGAAGCACCGGGAAACCTTGGACCCAAACAATCCAAGAGACTTCATCGATACCTACCTTATACGCATGGAGAAGGTAAGTCCTGCATGAATGAGAGGGGATGGCTGAGAGTGAAGGCTGAGGATGTGAGCAGAGGAAAAGGGGGCAGAGGATGGGGAGGAGAAACAGGAAATGGAGTGGAGGAGATGCAGAAGGATCTGGAAAATGATGAAAATAACAGGAAGAGAAAATGTGATATGGAGAAAGAAGGCTGGGGAAGAAACAGAGTGAGGGACAAAAGGCAGGAAAGACCTCAGAGGAAAAAAGAGCCTGGGAGACAAAAAATGATAAACTAACAGAGAGCACAGTAGAGAGAGAAAACAGAGCAGAGACCAAGTGACGTTGTCGAGGACTGAGAAATGCCATGTGGTCCAGATAGTGAGACAGAGGACAGTTCCCAGGATGTGTGTGCATCTCCCTGCAAGGCTCCAGGCACCCTGACCCTCCCTTCTCTTTCCCATCTGGAACCAGGAGAAGTCCAACCAACACACGGAGTTCCATCACCAGAACCTCATGTTCTCCGTGCTGTCTCTCTTCTTTGCTGGCACCGAGACCAGCAGCACCACGCTCCGCTTTGGCTTCCTGCTCCTGTTAAAATACCCCCATGTAGCAGGTGAGCAACAGGTGGCCAGTTGGGGAATCTTCTAGCTACCCTTTTCTGCAGAGGTTTGTGTGGATTGAGAGAGACATGAGACTCTTACATCTGGAGCTCTGAAGGCTTTGGTCTACTTCTAACCTAAGGCAGTGCTGTGGGTGGTGTGTGAATAAACACTCAGCTGGTCCATTTCCACTATTTTTGCTATAACTTGAAGGTTGGATCATCTGTCTTTCCTTCCTTCCTTCCTTCCTTCCTTCCTTCCTTCCTTCCTTCCTTCCTTCCTTCCTTCCTTCCTTCCTTCTTCCCTTCCTCCCTTCTTCTTTCCTTCCTTGCTTCCTTCCTCCCTTTCTTCTTTCTTTCCTTCTTTTGTCTTTGCATCCATCTGATACTCATTCATCTTTCTGTCGATCCACCTGTTCATCTATTTACCATTCTATTCATGTTTCATCCATTATCTAACATCTATATATTCATTTTCCCTCTACACACCTGTGCACCCACACATTAATTCTCTCTCCATCTTCTCTATACTCGTAGATGATTAATTATTGATTCTTTCATCTCTGTTTGACCCAATGGCATTCATTTATGTGAATGAATCAGTTTGTGAGTTTTATTCTTTATCATAACTAGTTGAGCAGGCTCTCTGTCATTTATTCATTGGTTCATTCATATACAAATCTTCTCATTCCTTAAGTCTGCTCATTGGCCTTTGAATTCACCCCTCTTGGGTCAATCCATTCCTCCATGTTTAATACTTCATTAATTTATCTGTGATTTATTCAACATACCTACCTATTTATTCCTATATTTGCTCATTCAATCATTTATTCCTTTGCTAAGCCTAACATCACTTCATTATTGGTTAGTTATGTTCATTGATTTCTTTGTGTGTGCAACATTTTGACTCATTAATTGATTAATACAGTGAGTGAGAAGTGGAATATGGACATCCAGTTTTGCTTTGCTCATTTCACTCAGTCAACAATCTTTCCTAAAGTAACCAACTCATCCATTGCTTGGCTGACTTACACACTCACATTCTACGAAAATGAAATCGATGTGATGTTGTGAGTTTGTTTGCTGCAGCACATGTGTGGAGGTGGGAGGACAACTTGTGCAGTTGGGTCTCTCCTGCACATTCACATGGGTCCTGATGCAAGTCAAGTGCATTTTCTGGCTGTGCCTTTTCATTGGTTAATATATTCACCAATGTGTTCATATTTTGTATTTTGTTATCCATAGATTAATTTACTTCCCTTTTATTCCTGAGGATACAGCCTCAGATTGTTATCCTGGATTTTTATTTTGCTAAACTCATGTTCTTTGCTGTTTTGTCTGCATATATGTCTGTGTGAGGGGTTTGGATCCCCTGGACCCAGAGTCACAAACAGTGTGAGCTGCCATGAGGGTGCTGAACCAGGGTCTCTTAACCTCTGAGACATATCTCTAACCTCCTGGATTGTTAAATTATTAAATATAAACTCCACAAAAAGAGCTCTCTCTCTCTCTTTCTGTCTCTCTCATCCATCACCACAAATTATAACATTATATTTCAAATGCAGAAAATTTCTACCATCTTCCCCTCCAGCCCTCAGTCAGACTGATAGATGAAAATAGCCCTTTGCTGTGGGTTTTCATTTTCTCTGTATTAGGAGCAAGGTTGGAGCTGTGAGGAGAATCTCTAACATAGTTCTAAGCGTGGCTGGAGAGACAGATGCCTGAGAGAAACGCAGGTGTGCATGTCCCAGAGTACACTGTGTCTCTTTCAACAGAATCTCCTGGATCTGCACTGTTCCTAAGCTGTTGGCTCACAGAAAACAGGGTCACTGTGCATTGCCTTCGTGAAGGGGGCAAGCATTGTCTGCTGTCTCCCTTTTCTGTGCAGAGAAAGTCCAAAAGGAGATCGATCAGGTGATCGGCTCACACCGCCCACCAACCCTTGATGACCGCAACAAAATGCCTTACACTGAGGCTGTCATTCGCGAGATCCAGAGATTTGCAGATATTGTCCCGATTGGAGTGCCGCACAAAGTCACCAAAGACACTTTGTTCCGAGGGTACCTGCTCCCCAAGGTGAGACCAGCTGCGATTCCACATCTCTATGCTATGATCATCTCCCGTTCTCCCAATTACCACCCTAGGCCTGTTTGTGGTTTCCTGGCATTCTGTGGCTCTCTAAGGACTGTTTGCTTATGGGAGTCGGGGTATGCTAATATTGCCTCTCACAATGTCTCCTAGAACACTGAAGTGTACACCATCCTGAGTGCTGCTCTCCATGACCCACGGTACTTTGAACAACCAGATGCCTTCAATCCTGACCACTTCCTGGATGCCAGTGGGGCTCTGAAGAAAATTGAAGCTTTTATGCCCTTCTCTACAGGTGAGACGGACCTGTGCTTCATTTTCCAGACACTAGAGGACAGACTTACCCTCCAGGATACAGTCAGGACTAGGTGCAGTCTATCTTAGCTGGGAAGCCATTCCACCTGGCTACTGTCCCAGAAGGGGTCTCTTGAACTAAAGGTGCATCCTACTCAGGAGGATTTTGGAGAGGTATTGAAAAACCTCTAAACCTGTGCATATTCACTCTTTTCTTATTTTATTATGAGGGGAGGACCTTTTTAAACAAGTGATTAAATGGCTGACAGAGGAGAACAATGGATGTTCACAGAGAACACAATGGGCTGAGGGCACAACCAGGTTCCACCACTGCTCCCAGCAATAAACAACAGATTAATTAATAGAGAGGAAAGGAGCACAGATATTCCCAGGTCAGGACGTTCGGGATGTCTTTAAAGTCAATGCAGCAACGCCCACATAAAGTCCTTAAAAGAGCAGAAGACAGTTGCTCCACTTTAGAAAGTGCAATGAGCAAAATAATCCATCTGTTGTTCTCCAGCTGCATCAAATCCATCAGTTCTCTCTTTTGCTATTAGACATTTGTTTATTAATTTTCCTCTTTTATTAAAAGTAGATTCTTTCCTCATACAATATATGCTGATTAGAGTTTACCCTTCCCTCTCCTCCTCCCAGTTCCTCTCCACTCTCCCACCCCACAGGGTACATCCCCTTTCTGTCTCTCATTAGAAAAGAACAGGCTTCTAAGCAATAACAACCAAACATGATGAAATTGAATAGAAGATAAAACAAAAACCATCACTTCAATATCAACAGAAAAAGTAGAGCCCAAAAGAAGGCACTAACCAGAGACCCTCTCATCCGCACACTCAGGAATCCATGGAAACACTAAACTGAAAGCTGTAAGATGTGCACAGAGGACCTGGTGCAGACCCGAGCAGGCCCTGTGCCTGCTGCCTCAGTCTGAGTTCATGTGAGCTTTGCTCAGTTGGTGCAGAGCCTTGTGCTCTTGGTGTCCTGCATCCCCTTCGTCTCTTACCCTCTTTCTGCCTCCTCTTCCACTGGGTTTTCTCATCTCTAATAACAAAGACATTCCATTTAGAGCTTGGTGTTTCAAGGTTTCTCTCTCTCTGTGACACGTCTGGCTGTGTCTCTCTGAATTTGTTCCCAGTTGGTGCAGGAGGAAGCTTCTCTGGCAATGGCTGAATAAGGAGGGCTCTGATCTATGTAGCAGAATATTTTCCGGGGTCANAAAATGATGTTTTCTAGCTCTATCCATTTGCCTGCAAAATTCAAGATGTCATTATTTTTTTCTGCTGTGTAGTACTCCATTGTGTAAATGTACCACATTTTTCTTATCCATTTTTCAATCGAGGGCATTTAGGTTGTTTTCAGGTTCTGGTTATGACAAACAATGCTGCTTTGAACATAGTTGAGCACATGTCCTTGTGGCCCGCTTGAGCATCCTTTGGATATATACCCAAAAGTGGTATTACTGGATCTTGAGGAAGGCTATTTCCTAATTTTCTGACATCCAAAGGGGCTGTAACAGCTTGCATTCCCACCAGCAATGCGGGAGTGTTCCCTTTACCCTACAATCTCTCTAGCATCAGTGTTTTTGATCTTGGCCATTCTTACAGGTGTAAGTTGGAATCTCAGAGTTGTTGGATTTGCATTTCTCTGATGGCTAAGGATGTTGAACATTTACCTAAGTGTCTTTCAGCCATTTTAGATTCCTCTGTTGAGAGTTCTCTGTTTAGGTCTATACTCCATTTTTTTTTATTGGATTATTTGTTCTTTTCATGACCATTTTCTTGATTTCTTTGAATATTTTGGAGATCAGACCTCTGTCTGATGTGCTGTTAGTGAAGATCTTTTTCCATTCTGTAGGATGTCATTTTCTCTTGTTGACCATGTCCTTTGCTTTTACGAAGCTTTCAGGTTTCAGAAGGTCCCAGTTTCTCTCAGTGTCTGTGCTGCTGGAGTTATATTTAGGAAGTGGTCTCCTGTGCCAATGCATTGTAGTGTACTTCCCAAGGTTCAGTGTGGTTGGCTTTATGTTAAGGTCTTTGATCCATTTGGACTTGATTTTTGTGCATGGTGATAGGTATGGGTCTATTTTCATTCTTCTACTTGTTGATAATAAGTTATGCCAGAACCATTTGTTAAATATGCTCTCTTTTTTCCATGTGATATTTTTCTGCTTGTTTGTCAAAAATCAGGTGTTCAAAGATGTGTGCATTAATATCCCGGTCTTCTATTCAGTCCTCCTGTCTGTTTTTATGCCAATATCAGGCTGTATGTAGGTCTGTAGCAGAGTTTAAAGTCAGGGATTGTGATGCCTCCAGAAGTTCTTTTATTGTACAGGATTGTTTTGGCTATCCTGCATTTTTTGCTTTTCCATATGAAGTTGAGTACCATTCTTTTGATGTCTGTGAAGAATTTTGTTGGGATTTAGATGGACATTGCATTGAGTCTGTAGGTTGCTTTCTGTGAGATTGCCATTTTACTATGTTAATTCTGCCTATCCAAGAGAATAGGAGATCTTTCCACCTCTCGTGTCTTTTTCAATTTCTTTCTTCAAAGATTTAAAGTTCTGGTCATGCAAGGCTTCTACTTGTTTGGTTAGAGTTACTCAGAGATATTTTATGAAATTTGTGGCTATCGTGAATGGTGGTGTTTCTGCAATATCCAGATGTCCTTTAAGTCTTCCAATTTTGTGGAGTACATACAGGTTTTTGAAATATGATGATGATTCTCTGGATTTCCTCCATGCCTGTTGTATTTTCCTCCTTTTCATTTCTGATTTTATTAATTTGGATATTCTCTCTCTGCCTTTCTTTAGTTTGGATAAAGATTTGTCTATTTAGTTGATTTTCTCAAAGAGCTAACTCTTTGTCTCATTGATTCTTTATTATTTTCTTTGTTTCTATTTTGTTGGTTTCAGCTCTCAATTTGATTATTTTTTGCTGTCTAGTTCTCTTGGGTGAGATTGGTCTGGATTCATTCCTGCGTAGGTTCCTGACGTGAGTTGGTACTACAAAGGTCCCTGGCTCTGATCTACGCCCTTGGAGTTCCCAGGTTTGGATGCTCCCAGACCTGCAAAGGACTGTCTCAGGCTTACTCCCTCAGAGGTCCCAGTATCATACTCGGGCCTTCAAAGATTTATGGTTCCTGCCTATTTCATTTGACATCCCAGACCAATGTCCAGACCCACAGAGGTCCTGGCTCAGACCTACTCCCTCTGACATACCAGACTCATGCCTGGACCTGCAGAGAAGTCTGGTTCCTGATTATTCCCTTGGAGGTCCCAGATTCATGCCCAGAACCACAGGGGTCCTGGTCAGGCCTAGTTCGTGGAAGGTCCTAGACTCACGCCCAGACCCACAGGGGTCCTGGCTTAGGTCTACTCCCTTGAAGGTTCCAGATTCACATCTTAACATGCAGCGGTCTCTGTCTCTGTGTCTGACTCACTTGCTCAGCAGTTGCTCCCCTGTACCTGCTCCCATTGAGCTCACTGCATCAGGCCTGCTCTGGGTCAGGTCACTGGCCCAGTCCTGCTTCTGCAAATGACCCTGGTCTGGAATCTGCTCCTGCTCTCATGGAGTTCACTGTCTGAGCTCAGGATGTCTTTAAAGTCAATGCAGCAATGCCTGATAAATTCCTCAAGTACAGAAGACAGTTCCTCCACTTTAGAAAGTGCAATGATCAAAGTAATCCATACTTTGTTTTCCAGTGGCATCAAATCCAACAATTCTTTCTTTTCCTATTAAACATGTTTATTAATTTCCCGTTGTTATTAAAAATAGATTCTTTCCCTATTCAATATATGGTGATGACAGTTTTCCCTCCCTTTCCTCCTTCCAGTTTCCCTCTACCCTCTCTCCCCACAGGATACATCCCTTTCTGTCTCTTATTAGAAAAGAACAGGCTTCTAAGCAATAGCAACCAAACATGATAAAATAAAATATAAGATAAAACAAAACCCATCATTTCAATGTTATACAGTGCAAACCAACAGAAGGAGTAGAGCCCAAGAGAAGGTGGGAGAACCAGAGACCCACTCATTCGCACACTCAGGAATCCATGGAAACACTAAACTAAAAGCTTTAAGATGTGCACAGAGGACCTGGTGCAGACCCGATCAGGCCCTGTGCCTGCTGCCTCAGTCTGAGTTCATATGAGCTTTGCTCAGTTGGTTCAGAGACTAGTTCTCTTGGTGTTCTGTATCCCCTCCAACTCTTACCCTCTTTCTGCCTCCTCTTCCTCCGTGTGCTCTGAGCTCTGAGGGGAGGGTTTTGACAAAGACATTCCATTTAGATCTCTGTGTTCCAAGGTTTCTCTCTGTGAAACGCCTGGCTGTGTCTCTGTGTATTTGTTTCTATCTGTTGCAAGGGGAAGCTTCTCTGGTGATGGCAGAATAAGGAAGGCATTGATTTATGAGTGTAGCAGAATATCTTTAAGAGTTTTTTTTTGTTATTTTTTTCCTTTTGAGCAATAGCATTTTTTATCCTATGTCTCTGGGCTATCTAGTCCCTGGTTCTTGGTCACTCAAGCAATGCCGCATATTCAAACCATACACTGGATAATTACTCCCACAATGCACTACATTGTGCCACTGTTGAGCACTAGAATTTCATACAGGAAGGATAGCATGGTTCATCAAAGGTTTTGTGGCTGGGTTGGTGTATACATTTCTCATTTGGTAGCCTGTAGAATACTTCCTATACCAAAGATGCTAGAACACGGGGGTGAAGGTCTAGATAGACACCAGCTACATGTCTCCAGTTCAATGAGCTGTGTGGGAATTTTCTTCAGCAATGAGCCCTTGCTGTCAGTTTATGGATTCAACCTACTGTCTTGGTAAACAGCCTTGGGTTGTTTGGGGTCTTCCATGGGACCCCTTTGGTCAGAAACTCAATTGAATGTAGCCCAGTCCTGGAACTAGAAGCTTCATTTAGTGAGAAAAGATGGCCAGTTGGGACCAAGTATCCCTCATTATTCAGAGACCTCATTCGAATTGCCTTTCTGTAGTTTAGGAAGTTTCTACTGCACTAGGTTTCCATACCAACACTCAAAGCCCCTCAATTCTAGCTGTCTCTCCACACACTCTGTCCCTCAAGCCCATTTCTCCTCCTACCTGATCTTTCCATTCCTGTCCCTACTGATGCCCCTAGACTACCCATGAACTCTATTCTATCTTCCCCTCTTAGTAGTTTTGTCTACATGCAACCTTTCTGGGTCTATGGTTATCATTTATTTAATGACTAATATCCACAAATAAATGAATACATGCCATGTTTACTTTTTGGGCCTAGTCTACCTCACTCAGGATTCTTTTAGAGTTCCATCCCTTTGCCTGAAAATTTCTTGATGCTGTTTTTTTTTTAAGCAGCTGAATAATCCTCCATTGTATAAATGTAACACATTTTATTCATCCTTCTGTTGAGGAACTTGCAGGTTGTTTCCAATTCTGGCTCTACAAATAGAGCAGCCAGAGTAACCCCAGGATATTTGTATTATGTGAAGCTATTGTGAAAGATGTTGTTTCCCTGGATTCTTTCTCAGTGCATTTGTCATTTTTATGTAGCAGAGTTAATTTTGTGTCCAGCTATTTTTCTGAAAGTGTTTATCAGCTGTGGGAATTACCCAGTGGAAACATTTGGACCCCCCCCCCACAGACACACAGACACACACACAATTATATCATCTGATAATAAGTACACTTTGACTTCTTTTCAATTTGTATGCCCTTGGTCTCCTTCAGTTGTATTATTACTTTAGCTAAGACTTCAAGTATTCTATTAAATAGTTGTGGAGATTTTAGACAACATTGTCTTGTTCTGAATTTTTGTGGAATTGCTTGGAGTTCCTCTCTATTTAAGTTGATGTGGGCTGTAGGCATGCTGTAAACTGTCTTTGTTATGTGTACGTATGTCCCTTGTATCTCTGTACTCTCCAGTACATTTATCATGAAGAGGCATTGGTTATTGTCAAAGTCTTTTCTGCATCTAATGAGATGAGCACATGGGTTTTCTTTAAGTTTGTTTATATTTATTAATGTTTCATATATTGAACCATCCCGGATCTCTGGAATGAGACATATTTGATCATGGTGGGAAAACTTTTTGATGTGTTTTTGGATTTGGTGTGCAAGAATTTTATAGAGTATTTTTGCCTTTATAAGGCAAATTGGCCTTCAATTCTCTTTCATTGTCATTTGGGTGTCAGGGCAACTGTTGTCTCATAAAGTGAACTGGACAATATTACTTCTGTTTCTATTTTGTGGAATAATTTGAGGAGTATTGACACGAACTCCTCTTTGAAAGTCTGATAGAATTCTGTGTTGAAACTCTGTCCCTAGGCTTTCTCCCCGCTCCCCCAGGATTTGGGAGACTTTCAGTGACTATTTTCATTTCTCTAGGGATTATAGGTCTGTTATTTGATCTTGATTTCACTTTGGTAAGTAGTACCTATCAAGAAAAGTATCCATTTCTTTTAGATCTTCTAATTTGTGGAATACAAGTTTTTAAAGTATGTTCTTTAAATTCTCTGAATTCCTCAGTGGGCTCTTGTGGAGACACATTGCCCTGGCTGTTCCTGATTGTGTTTTTATGCTGACAACCAGGGATCTGGTTTTGGGGTGATTATAGGTCTAAGTGCCGATTTCTGGGTTTGTCTTTGTTGGGTCAATGTTTGGTTTCTTGGTTTCTGGGATTTAGGTGAGCATGATGGCTGTGTGTTTCCTCATAGGAAGCTTTCTGTGGACCTGTTTCCCTGTCCTGCCCAGCTGGTGTGTCCCAGGGAATGCCTGCTGGTGTTGGAGGCTGGAATAATGGGATAAGTTGGGGGGGGGGAAGGAAGATTGGAGGAGAAGATCTTTGTGATTCAATGGGGATGGGGCCAGGGAGGCAAGGGAGAATACAGCAGGCATTCCACTATAGAGCTGGAGCTGAGACTGGGGCAGTGGTGGGTGTATCTGGAGAATCAGAAGGAGAAGCATGGATTCTCTGTCAGCCTACCTGCTTCTCTGGTCAGAGTGGACTTTGGCTTCGTAATGGTGCATCATGGGGAAGATCAGGGAAATCCAAAGAGATGGGGAGTGCGGGTAGAGAAGGCTGCAGCAAGGGTTCTGTTGCAGAGGTGGGGTGAGGACTGGGGTTTGGGTTTTGGGGAACAGAGGGAGAGGCGAAGGTCTGCTGAATAAGCAATGGGGACAGAGAGAGACAGAGAGAGATAGAGACAGAGAGAGATAGAGATAGAGAGACAGAGAAAAAGAGAGAGAGGTGGTGGTGATGAGAGACAGAGGGGATAGAGACAGGAGCAGACAGAGAGCTCATGGTATATATTCCATTATCTTCCTGCGGTGATCTCTCAAGTGCTGTACTTGCAGGCATGTGCCCCCATGCCTGGCTTATCTAGGACCCTTAATGCCATTCAGTTGTTGGTCTAAGAGTCTCTGTTAAACAGCACCTTCACCTTCAGGGCAGCCAATGAGATGGGGACCAATCTCCTCACATGAGAAAGAAGGGAACATTACAGATGTTACATTATACATGTTTACACATGCATATTTGTTCCTACTCTATTGTGTTCTTCAATTCTGAAACAAAGGACTCTGATAATGAATAAAACCTAGAAATCCGTCATAAAAATTATGAGACATCCACCACCAATTTGTCTTGCATTTTATAATTGATTTATTGTATATATGTTTGCATGCATATACATGTGTGCTAGTGAGTGTGTATATGTTTACGACAGAGAACAGATTATGGGAGTTTGTTCTCTCCTTGGAACATGTGGGTTTAGGGGGTGAATGCATGTCCTCGGGATCGATGTCAGACTGCCTTCCATGCTAAGAAGTGTCACTGGCCCTTGCACCAATTCTTTAAGGTTTTGGGAGAAACTCTTACCATTCTTTCTTGAATAGAAGGTTAATGATCAAACTCATTCTTATCCATTGCAATGGGAGAGTTGTCTGGGTTTAGGGAAGGGACAGTCTAAAGGTTGTATACTCACCCAGGGCTCACATGGCTCATTCTCTGTGCCCACAGGAAAGCGCATTTGTCTTGGTGAAGGAATTGCCCGCAACGAATTGTTCCTTTTCTTCACCACCATCCTCCAGAACTTCTCTGTGTCCAGTCCTGTGGCTCCTAAGGACATTGACCTCACGCCTAAGGAGAGTGGCTTGACCAAAGTGGCTCCAACATACCAGATCCAGTTCTTACCCCGCTGACTGGGCTGAGGTGGCCAGGTGTCCCCACTCCTGTTGAGAATGGCCCCATCTTTCTGCCTCTGAGAGACCTGCTGCCAATGAGGCCGTAGGTCACTACTCACACCTTTCCACCTTACTGCAGCTTCTGTAAAGTTCCGAGGTGTGTCCTTATGCCCTGAGAATGGCACTGGGGAAATCACTCAATGTCTTTCTTGATGTGTGAACAGAGACTTCTACAGGCCCCTTCTCATGTTGTGTCAATTCTCTATTGTGCTGAGCAACCATAGTTTCCATGCAGAAACTTCTGGTCCTCCATGAAACAATCTAATGAATGCCAGAGGTCATGTCAGAGGAGGAGCAGGTGGAAACTGAAGTTCAAAGTGTCAGCTCGCCAGGAGGAAAACTCTCTGATGGGTTAATCCTGTTTTATGTAAGACTATGAGAACACAGACTCTGCAATATCTTTTGATTCTACTTTGTTTTTACTTGTTTATTGCTACAATCTTTCCCTGGTATCTGGCTTGGTATGAGTAGATGTGGGGAGACCCTACTGCCTGTGACATAGTGTGTTTCTCTCATGAAATCAACCTGATCTACTGGGTAGTTTTATCTGTGGATTGTCAAGACGAATATTCCTCCCTAACTGTGCTGTCTAATTGATATAATGTTAGCTTATACAGAATTTTGATAAATAAAAATGAACACAAGGAAATAATACACAGTCTGTGTCTATGAGCTTCCCCTAAGGGGCTGCTGAAGATCACAGCTCAAGTTAAGAAAAACAATGAGCCAGCTGTCTCAAATTCCTTGAATCTTAATGCTGAGAAATGTGTCACAGGTTTTGGTGTGCAAAATTAGTTGAAATAAAGCTTCAAAATAACTTTAGATCGGACCAGATGCCTTGCTAATGGTCTTTTAAAGATAAACTACCCCAGAAAACCAATCTAACATTCAGAAGACACATAGCTGAGCTGCTGATTCATTTAGGCTAGAGTCAAAAATACAAAACAGTCCAGTTATTGCCAGCTGACAGATGACTAACTTCTTACACCCTTTCCTGGCATTTTATTGCTGATATGAAGACTCAAGTTCGGCTGACTGTTTCTTATGTATATAAGTGTTGGGTCCTGGTATTGCACAAATACCAGGGAGTAGAATATCGGACTCTAGAAATAGAAGCAACTTTTGTTCAGTCAGGACTACAGAGAGTAATGTGACTGTGTAGAACCCTAAGGGGAACTGCAGATTTCTTTTTATGATCCAAGATCACACACAGGGTAGGCAGTACATTTTGAGATTTAAAGCATAATGGTGTCACAGTTTCCCATGAGTGCTGACTGAGGTGAAGCTAAGAAATTTATGCTTTCTCTGCAACATTGTCTTGAGCCTGAACTTTCAGATTTATGACACTCCAGTCACCTTGGAGATCCAAAGAGAATCTGGAATTTATGACTTCTGATAACAGGGTATTAGTTTAATAAGTTTAAATAGTTGTGGGTTAGTTTGAATTGCTCTTCCCCTGCCAGGGACAAATGAAATGTAACCCTTGGTGACTCCTGCATTGCCTGAAAGATTTTGTTAGGGTATATAAGCAGGAGAGAGAGAGAGAGAGAGAGAGAGAGAGAGAGAGAGAGAGAGAGAGAGAGAGAGAGAGAGAGAGAGAGGGAATTAGAACAACCTGAGAAGAGAATGAAAAATCAAACTATCAGAAGAGTGTGAGTGTTTTTTCCCTAATGCTCAGACAGAAAATAGCTACGTGGTTTCTGTGGATTTCCTTTCAAATTTTGTGATGTCTGAAGGCTGACCCACTAGGCTGCAACAAATACACTCTATATATGGTCTGAATTCTGTGTCTGTGGACTTGCTTAATCTGTGTGGTTCAGGTAGCTGTGATCTTTCTGTCTGGCATTTTTTTTTATTGAAAAAAAATTCCTGCCTCCCCCAGCCTCCCATTTCCCTCTCCCTCCTCCTGCCCCTCTCCCCCTCCCCCCACTCCTCTCCCCCTCTCT